GGCCGTCTCGGGCCGTCGGAAGGCCGAAACGAAGCGAGTGTCAAAATCCTTCGAAAACCTACGGAGCGTCAGTGTTTTTGGCCTTCTCGGAGGCCGTCCTGGAGGCCCTCTTGGAGGCCTCTTGGGCCGTCTTGGGCCAGCTTCGAGCCAACTTCCGCCATCTTGGTGGGCTCCTGGCCCGTCCGACGCCGTCGGAAGCCATTTTGGGGACCTCTCGGAACCGACGTGGGACCTTCTTGGGGCGCCTCATTGCTATCTTGGAGGCCATCTTGGGCGTCTTGGAGGCCTCTTGGGTCGTCTTTGTGCCCTCTTGGGGCCGTCTTGGGGGCCTCTTGGGCTGTCATGGGAACATCTTGGTTGGAGGCCTTTTGGGCGGTCTTGGGGCGATCTTGGAGGCCCCGTGGCCCGTCTTGGGACGTCCGAGAGCTGATAAGAAGAACATGCTAAAATCATCAAAAAACTTACGGGACATCAGTGATTTGGGCCCTTTCGGGCCTTCCTGGAGGACGTCTTGGAGGGCTCTTGGGCCGTCTTGCAGGCCTCTTGCGGGCCTTTTGGACCGTCGTGGACCATCTTGAGGCCATCTTGGGCCGTCTTGGGTGCATCTTGGAGCCATCTTAGCCGTCTTTGAGGCCATCTTGGCTGTCTTGGAGGCATCTTGGAGGCCATCCTGGGCCATCTTGGCCGTCTTGGAAACCATCTTGGGCCAACTTGGGGCAACAAAGGCATTGACAGATGGATTTTCGCGAATCTCCCGGGACCCCGGCGGGACGCGCCGGAGCCCCAGGGGGAGTTCTTTTGGAAAAAGAACCAAAACCAAAACCGAGAGGGTCCAGCACGCCAGGCACCCCTGCGATGAATCGACAGGGGGCGGCGGATGAAGGAAAGCGTGCGTTAGCGTGCGGTCCGGTAGTCGGAAGAAATTGGACTTGGGGGAGTTCGAGGGGGGTGGCATCGCCAGTCCCGGATCTACTCGCCCTCCCGCCTTGTTCTTGATCGAGTAGGACGGCCTTCGGGGCTTACAAACAGCGTTTCGCTCGAGACATCATCGGAAAACGCTTCTTGGGCGCTTCTTGGGCTGTCTTAGGCGCCTAAGACAGCCCAAGAAGCGGCCAAGACGGCGCCCACGACGGCCCAAGACGGCCCAAGACGCGCCCAAGACAGCCCAAGAGCGCTCCAAGAGAGCCCAAGACCGCCCAAGGCGGCCCCAAGACGTTCCAAGAGGCCTCCACGACGCCCCAGGAGGCGCCCACGAGGCGTCCCAAGAGGGCCCCAAGAGGCCAAAATCATTGATTTTCCTAAGGAAAACGTGCATTTTTAGCATATACGGCTTTTCGCCTTTCATGGCGTTGAAGACGGTCCAAGAGGCCCCCAAGACCGCCCCAAGACGGCCCAAGATGTTCCCAAGAGGCCCCAAAAAAACCCAAGAGGGCGCCAAGACGGGCCAAGAGGCGTCTAAGACTGTCCAAGAGGCCCCCAAGAGCGCCCCAAGAAGGCCCAAGAGGCCCCCAAGAAGGCCCAAAAACGGCCCAAGAGGGCGCCAAGACGGCCCAAGAGGCGCCAAGACGGCCCAAGACGGCGCCAGGACGGCCCCAAGAAGGCCCCAAAAGGCCCCCAAGAGAGCCCAAAGACGGCCAAAGGCAGCCTAGTCCCTTCACCCCCGCAGCCCAGAAGCTCCCAGGAGGCCCCAAGAGGCCCCCGAAAAGCCCCAAAAGGTCCCCAAGAGGCACCCAAGAGGCTCCCCAAGAGCCCCCCAAGAGGCCCAAAATACTCCCAAAGGCTCTTAGCACCGCGGCTCCCAAGAGCGAGCGGTGACGTAATCGAGCTGATAAGACCAAAGCTCCCAACAGAGAGCTGCGGCGTAATAAGTTCTTGACGCAAGGGCACAGGGACGGGCGGCAACGCGTGGACAACGAGCGGTCCACGCAAGGAAAACGCGGGGTTCTGGAAAGCTGGCAGCCCAAACGCGGAAAACGCAACGCGACCCGACCGCCCCCTCCAAAACAAGAAACGCGCTCAAAGAAAGCTCCGCGACTCTCCGAGGCTGAGATAGGACAAGAGCGAGGGGAAGGGAGTCAATAAGAGGTGTAAGAGCGGACGAGCCAGCGATCTCGTGCACTCTGAAAGTAAGTGCGCTTTCCGTCCCCGTGCCAAGCAGGTCTAGTGGCCTTCGGCCCATCTCGTGACCGTGCCCGGGCTTTGGGTTAGAGGCCTTTTGGATGTCCGTTTGGATATCGTGGGAGGCCTCTCAGGGGTCTCTTGGATGCAGTTTTGAGGCCTCTTGGGGGTCCTGTGGGGGCCTCGTTGGGTCTTCTTCTGGGCCTCGTGGGGCCTCTAGGGGACCTCTCGGGCTCTCTTGGGGGCATCTTGGGGCCTACTGGGGGCCTCTTCGGGCGGAAGGCTCGAATTGTTGGTTCGTTTTCCTCTTTTTGGGCCCCTCTTTGGGCCGTCTTGGGGCCCTCTTGGACAATCTTGAGCGCCTCGTTTTGCAGCCCTCTTGGACCGTCTTGGGGCCCTCTGGGGGGCCTCTTGGGCGGTCTTGGGGCGGTCTTGGGGGCCTCTTGGGCCATCTTGGAGCGTCGGAAGCCCGGAAACGCGACAGCGCGAAAAACATTGAAACACATGAGGGAACACAATTGTTATTGCCTCTTTGTGTCCTCTTGGGGGCCCTCTTGGAGCGCTTTTTGGGCTTCTTCGGTGCCTTTTGGGCCGTCTTGGGGCCATCTTGGGCGTCTTGGAGCTCTCTTGGGCTGTCTTCCAGGCCTCTTGGCCTGGACCCTCTTGGGCGTTTTCTGGGGCCCTTGTGGCCAGTTTGGGGGCCCTCTGGCCTCTGGAGAACGCCGGCGGGGCAGCCCGAGAACGCGCGGGAACGCCGGGTGAATTTGAGGAGTTGGGCCGCAGCCCTTAGGATACCACAGTCCCGCAGCCCTTAGAATACCACGGCAAAACAAAAAGAAGAAAAAATGGTCCCAGAGTCCCGATCACAGAGGACAGACAGAGGACACGTGAGGACCTCCTCCACTTCGCGCCTCGCGCCTCGCAGCACGGTGGCGGATGGCGTTTGCGGGGCACGACCCGCGCGAGGGTCGTGTCATTCTTCTGCGAACCTTGTCTCCGGGGACGTTGATGGAGCCCCCCCGTGGGGCGTGGTCCCTGCGGCGGGTGTGCCGACGAGGGCGGGGGAGCGCTAGCCAAGCCTCTCGCTGGGGCCACAGGTGGAGCTCTCTGAGGGGCAAGACCCGTGCGACAATCCATGCAAGCGCGCGAAGCGCGCTGTTGGTTCTTTTTTGTGTGTGTATATCCTACTGCCCCAGCTGCCGCCTTGTGAGCTGGCCCGGCCGGTTTGAGTCGCGCCCAGCAGCTAATTAGGTTTTCCCGTCGGCCCGGACAATTTCTCTCGCCGCTTGCGCGCTCGCTGGTGGCCGCGACCAAAAGTGTGTGTGTATATATATATGTATATGTATAGCGAGGTATGCATTTACATTGATCTATGTATTGTTGTTGTTATGCATCCTGCAAGGACCTCCCCCCAGATGGCCGTCATTTCCCTCTGCACGCTCGTGGGCGGCGCTCCCCAGCCCCCTGGGCACCTGTCGGTAGAGGTTCTGGGCAGCCGAACATGTCAGGTCGCAATAGTCACGTCGAATTGCTGTCGCGAAGTCCCAGGGTACAGTGGAAACCCATGCCAAGAAACACCCTGCTTGCCTCCAATGTGCCATGGTTTTCTTGGGTTTCGATGGCTTCGCTATGGAAAGCGTGCCGTTCCCGCACCAAAAACCAAAGGGCGTCCTGGGGTCTCAGGGTTGAGGTTCTTGTGGAAGGTTTCTTGTGATCGGGCCCCCACTGTAGGTGTTTCGGCACGGTTTAGGACTACCAGGACGCATCAGTCGCATTGATTCCCGACGCTGAAGTCGCAGGAATTGTGTGTTGACACTGTCGGGGGTTCCCAGACGGTTGTCTTTCAATGTGGCATGGCCCGCAACGGAAGCCCATTCTTGATCCTATCATTTGGCAGAACACCATATCTAGGACTTCGACCATGCGAATTCTGGGATTTGCTCCAACATTTCCAAGTCGAACTCGCTTGTCGCTACGGAGAATCCACGTGTTGAGAGAGAACCGTGAACTGTTGCAATGCTTGTAAAAGTTATGCGAGTGTGGTATTTTCAAAACTTGCCGTCCTCATCTGTGCTATGCGCCCGAAATTATTCGATATGTTAGGATGAACTGCCGCGACCTTTTATGATGAATGCGCGCGGCGTTGAGGCGAGAGCCACATTTTGAAATCGACCCGCCTTCCACCCTTGTAATTGTCACATGTTATAAAAAAAACTGCGCGTGGCTCTAAGGCGAGAGCAGCGTTTGACCATCCGTGAATATGTTGTGAATTTCATGCTTCAGGATCATAGATGGTGAGGCAGTCTCAGGCAAAACGCCCAGCCCGCCCTGTGGATACGTCTGTGGGTGCGACAGGGAAGGATGATCTATAAGATTCATTGACAGACCTGCAGCGGCTTTCGCACAATCCATTTCTGTTCTGATTGACCTCTGTAGGATTTTTCTCTGGGCCTCCCAACACTCAACACACATTTCGGTTTACAGAAGAATTCCCCTGAGCAGGAGATGATGCATCATGGGCATGAGCCCATGCTTTGGCCTTTCGGAGCCATCCTGATGGCAAGCAGGCAATCCTGCACCCTTCGGGGGTCTCTCCGGGCCCTCTCAGAGCCCTCGCGTGGCAACCTTGTCGCAGGTCTGCCTCTTTTTGCGCCCGGGTCGTGGCCCTGGCAGCGCGGCGCAAGAGGTCAGCATGTTACCGACGCTCCCTGGCGACGCGCACCTGTACCGCGCCGCAGGGGAGCGGCGCCACAGACGGGGGATCGGCACGCCCCGGACATTCGCGCGCGAGCCGCCCGCGCAACCGTCGCGCGCAGACGCCCCCCTCGCCCGTGCGGTGTGCCGCCGCTCCGCAGCCTGCTGCGCCGGCCCCCCTTCGCCAGGTGGCCATGCCCTCGTGCGCGCGTCCCTCCCCGTGGTAGTTGGCCAGTGGTCCACCGCCACCACCACAGGCAGGGCGGGGGAGAAGGGAGGATGAGGAGGCCCTCCTCCTCCTCCTCCTCCTCCTCCTCCTCCTCCTCTTTCTCCTCCTCCTCCTCATTCTCCTCCTCCTCTCCTCTTCCTCCCCCTCCTAGCTGTGGCAGCGGTGGGGGAAGATTGGCCCACCTCCCCTCGCTCCGTCGCCCGCCCCAGGGCAGGTGGTCGCCGTGGTCCCCGGGAAGCTGGCCTCCGCGGTCTCGCGGGGCTCCACGTCGTCGCTGGCGGGCGGCGCGGCTGGCTGCAGCGACAAGCCAGCCGCGGCGGATCCCGAGGGAGGCACCGCCGCCCCCGCCGTCGTTCCGAGGAGGACAAGGTACCCATACCTCTACCCTCTCCTCGCGTTCAACCTTTGGAGCCTCCTGGGAGGCCCTCGTCGCCACCGCTGAATTCGGAAATCCTGGTCAGAACGCACCACGGGAGAGGTCCCGAGAGTAGCGGTATGGGTACTTTCTGGTTTTCCCAGTCGCCTCGCCATGGGGCGGGGAGGACGGCCAGGCCACGAGCCTGAATGCCTCGACGCCTCAAGAACGAGTTCTCGGAGTATCACTTTCCGCGGGGGCACCTGTGGGGCCCTCCCTCGTGGCCACGGCTGGATGCAGCCCGTAGATCGCCACCTACCAAGCCATTCCTTTCCCAGTGCGGGGGGGGCGTCGGGGAGCATTGAAGCAAGACATACGGATCCCGTATCCCCCCCCCGCTCAAGCCCGAAACCTGGGCCTTCGGGCGAGGTTGAGATGAGATGGGCTGGTAGGTAGTCAGTAGAACTTGGCAGCATGGTTCCTGGGAGGCGTCTGGGGATTGGTTTGGAGCGAAGATTTTCCTCGGCAGGTTCGCTTCGCCTCGACGCGGCGGCGACGCTGGCCCGAGCAGTAAAGGTTGACTTCCCGGCGGGGGTCTGCTTCGGGCTCCGGGGCCCGCAGGAGGGAGCCCGCGTCGCAAAACCCACCACGGATTTGGCCGAGAGCCTAGAGCCTCTCGGAGCTGTCGAGGAAGTCCAGGCCTCCTAAGATGTGGTCGGAGTGGGTGGGGTCGGAGGATCGCGCCGCTTCGCCGATGCATCGCCGATGCGGCTCGATGCGGAGCCCGATTTTCTCCACGCCAACGTCGCCGATGCGTCGCCGACGTCGACGATGCATCGCCGGTGCACCGCCGATGCATCGCCGATGCATCGCCGATGCATCGGCGATGCGTCGCGATCCTCCGACCCCATCTATTCCGACCTTGTCTAGGAGGCCTCTAGGAAGGAGATCGTACCAGGTTGAACGATCCGCATGGTGTCACGCGCCAGGGCCGACGTCGTCACGACAGGACCCTGGTGCAGATGTCTCACCACCCGAGGGGGAGATAAATGTTCGTAATGGAGTTCTTCGTCATTGGGGGCGCCTGTCCAGCGGCGCCACGTTCATTCGTCGATGATACAACCATTCTGGCCGCCGTGGGTGGAAATTCGTACCCAAGTTCGCAAAGTTGTATCGTGCACACGTTCGTCCCCCAAGCCGCCCTGGTCAATCGATGGTTCCGCAGCACCCGTTGGACACGGCGCGCGCAGGTCTCTCCAGTATGCCCCCCGAGGGCTGGCGCAAGGGCATCCTCGCAAGAGAACTCGCACAAGGGGTGGGTACGCTGTGAGGGCAGCAGCTGGTCCTGGCCGCAGCAGCGGGGATCGATGCGCACCCTCTCTGGGTCGGGGGCCAGTCCTGTGCGTCTCGCTCGGTTGCGTGGCAGTTGCCGCAGCACGGCCACGGTCGAAGTCGCCTTCGGCGAGGCACCGCTGCCCCGCTGCCTGCTCGCGTCGTGAGGCGTCGAGCGGGCGTGCGGCCGTGCTGGTGGGCTGCGTGCTCCCCCAGCTGTTGGGGAAGCCACCGGGGATGGGCCCTTCGGGGCCATCTTGTCGGGCGAAGAGAGCTATGCACATGCACCGATCCTGACAACGTCCATCCTTGACCCAGGATCGGTGCATATACCTTCCTGGCCAAGGTAAGAGGGCGTGGCGTATTCACCGATCCTGGGCTCAGGATGGGCCTGGCCAGAATCGGTGTATGTGCATAGTTCTCTTTCCTCTATCTTGGGGCTACCTTGGGGGACCCTTCTCTGACCTTTGGGACCTTCTTGGGGGGCTCCCTCTTGGGCCATCCTTGAGCTGCCTGGGGCGCGTCGGAGGGCGCTCTTGTGGGGCTCTAGACCCTCTTTGAAAGTTTTACGGATCCGTGCACGTGTGTCTCTTTGGGCCTCCTTGGGAGGCCTCCTGGGTTGGAATGCGGCGTCTACCTGCTTCTGGAGGACCGATACCTCGGGCGTATGCCACATACCGTTCTCACGTTGTGGCCACAAGCGCTTTATGAACGAGTAGGGTGCCGGTTCGTGTGTACATATATATATATATATATATAGACGCATGCCAGGTGGATGCGTCTGTAGACGACGCGGTCATGACGTTTGGGGCAGTACAGGGTCAGGGGAAGGGTAGATCCGTCCCCGGCATGCTTCTGGACTGGAGCAGGTCACACATTGTACTCCACCTTTTGCAGGCCCCTTCGGGCGTCTTTGAGGCCTCTTACGGAGGGACCTCATGCCAACAAACACACTGCTTGCCTGCAGGGTGCCCTGGTTTTCTTGGGCTTCGATGGTTTTGCTATGGAACGCGTGACCCAGATCGATGGACGTCCTGGGGTCTCAGGGTTGAGGTTCTTGTGGAAGGCTCCTTCTGGTCGAGCTCCTACTGGGTCCTACTGTGCTGCAGCTCTCAGAGGCACCTTCGGGCGTCGTTGGAAGCCTCTGTGGTCGTCTTGGCACCACCTCGTGCCATGGTGGCCGACTCGGAGGACACGTTACGGCAGACTCGCGTCGTCTCGACTGGCGGCGACCCCGCCAGCGGCGTTCAATTTTGAACGCCAGCGGCGACCCAGAATCGGTCGATGTGGAACGATTTGGACGTTTCGGAAATGGCCGATCGTTCAAGGTTGAACGATCCCCGCGGTGTCAGGAACTGACGCCGAAGTCGACACGACGCGAACCTGCCGTAGGCAGGCTTGTGAGGGGCCTGTTCTCCGCCACCACCACCACCGCAAGCTGGAGGTGGGGAGGAGGTGCGGGGGGCCTCTCGCTGGACAGGCTCCCGGCACCTCATGGCGCAGCGCGTCTCTGCACCTCCAGCGGGCCTGCCTCTTGGCGGGGGGAGGAGGGGGAAGGAGGAGGGGGAGGAGGAGGGGGAGGAGGAGGGGGAGGAGGAGGAGGAGGAGGAGGAGGAGGAGGAGGTGGAGGAGGACGACGAGGAGGAGGAGGAGGAGGAGACGAGGAGGAGGAGGACGAAGAGGAGGAGGACCCCCCCTCCCCCTCCGGCTCCGGATGGTGGCGGCGGGGGAGGACGGGCCCGGCACCTCGGGGAGCACATGGGGCCCTCCGGGCCGCCCCGCAGGCCGCCTCCGAGGCCGCCCGTCTGCCGCCTCGGGGTCCTTCCTCTCCTCCGCCTGCTCCTTCTCCTCCTCCTCCTCCTCCTCCTCCTCCTTCTCTTCCACAGCCTCCTCCATCTCTTTCTCGTCCTCACGCTTTCGTTTTCTTCTTTACGTCCTCCTCCATGAAGCCGCGCTCTCGCGCGCGCGGAATGCGAGATTGCCGCGCCCGCATTGCGTGTTTTTTTTATTATTATTTTTTGTTTTGCGGGGCGCGGCTCTTTGTGGCCCTCTTGCAGGGGCGGCGTGCCGAGCCGTAGCGGCCTCGTCAGGGGGCCACGTGCGAACCCTACCCCCTACCCCGCCACGCTTTCTGAGGGGGGGGGGCGGGGGGTCACTTCGCTCGGGAGCTCCCGAACGAAGTGACCCCCCCCCCCCTGAGAAATCGTGGGGGGTAGGGGTAGGGTTCGCATTGGGCCCCCTATTTGTGCGTCATAGGTTTGGCCTGCCCCCCTGCAGGAGGAGTATGCAAGAAAAGCCCAAACATGGCCTGGGGACGATCTCTGACTACGTTCGAGCCGTTTTGTCTTTTTTGACCATGTCTAGAAATTTAAGCCCCCCCCCACTCCCCCCTCATCCCGTGAAAGTATAACGCATCCGGCACCCTGGAAACGCTACCTCGGCACCGGAGGAGCCCGCAGAGAGCATTCGGGGCCAAGCTAAGTTTTTCCGAGCCTTGCTAGCTCCCGCTAAGCCCTGCTAAGCAATGATAAGCCAGGCTCGCCCCCTGCTCAGCCCTGCCAAGCCCATGCCAAGCATATTTGGAAATGCTTCGCATTTCCAAACATGTCATCGGAAACTCATAGCAGCCCCCAGGAACTCCTGAGCATATCCTTCGCATGTCTTCAGCATTTCCAAGGATATGCGAGGGGTGCTTAGCATCTCCTAGGAGTCTTGGATCCTTGGGATTCCCTAGGCTATCGTTTGCTGGTCCGTAACATGTCCTAGGCAATGCACCGCATATCCAAAGGCATCTCCAAGGATTTCTTCTTGCGCGGCGCGCGGCGCGCGACGCGCCACGGATTTGTTTGTTTTATTTGCGCGAGGTGCTAAAGATATCGCTCTGCGAAAACGGTCCCCTGGAAGTATTAAGTCCTGGTGCGGTGCTCTCGATAACCCCAGGGGGGTAATTGTTCTTCAACATCCGCCTGTGGGGGGGCATGCCGATCTAAGCTTTGCGAACCCTGTGGAAGGGTAGGAGGTTGTGTCCAGTGGAGACCCGTGCCAAGAAACACCCTGCCTGCCTACAGGGTGCCCTGGGCTTCTGGGGTTTCGATGGTTCTGCCGAGGGAAGCGGCGTGACGTTCCCAGCACATATCAAGGGACATGTTGGGGTCTCTGGGTTGGGTTTCTTGTGGACGGTTTCTTGTGGTCGAGCTCCTACTGTTTCGTTTGGTACGCCAAGCAGCCCCGTGATAAAGCAAAACGGGGCGGCGGATCTAGTGGCCTTCGCCCCATCCCGCCACCGTGTCTGGATCGTGAGTAAGCGGCGAGGCTTACGGTCGGACCGAGGTATAAGATCGAGGTCGGTTCGAGGAGGGTACGTTCAGTCAACCCGCACAGTAAGGATGAGCAAGTTTGCAAGGTTACCCTTGCATCGTTGCCACTTCGGCTCATCCTCGGCGTCTTTCGCTGGTTGGCCCCGTTCGAAAACGCCGGCATGGCCTTCCAAGGCCCTTGCATCCTTACCGCGCATCCTTATTATACGGGTTGACTGTAATGTTCTTTGTGTTTGTTGGTTGTTCCTGTTCATCCAGTGGGGGGAGGATGCCCTCGAATGTTCTTCAGTTTGGCATGCGGAGGGTCTCATGTTCTTGAAGGGTGCTC